TGTGTGTGTGTTTATGTGTGTGTGTGTGTGTTTATGTGTGTGTGTGTGTTCGACCGGAAATTCTGTAAGAGTCTGTAAGTCTGTAGGTGGAGGAATGACCGTAATCCAAAGAGCAATAGTGCATGGGAAATTTAGCTGTCTGAAAGGAAGTGTCTGAGAAGTGAGATCTTATCAGCTGAGTAGGGTTCTAGTCGAAAGTGGGAGTTTTAGATAAAAAAGAGAGCCGCCTTTCCTTTTATTGTGCATCGCCGCCAGCTTTTCGGTGCGGGGACACCACCAGATTACTATTCATAACTTCCGCTCCCGCGGAACTTGAGCGTTCTGTGCACGAAGGTGACGGGGTAAGCATGAAATAGATGCTTGACCAGAGATTGATAACTCTCGTTCCCGCCGACCTACAGCGTTCAAATAAGGAAGGAGTATACGCGGCAGTTAGATGATAGGAAGTTACTGATCTGGGCTCCACTTGGGAATTGGGCCGGATATCAATAAAATTTGTTCTCTTTTTCTCTTGAGCGTCCAAATATGAAGAGGGCGCAGGCGGTTGGCCAATTCGAGCACGACAAGGAGAAGAGCCCGGCGTTAGCAGGGCTATTCGACTAGTGCAGTGAGTAAGCGGTCAACCCTTTTCATGGCCAACGATGCCCCACCTCAATTCGAGGGGATTTCTCGACCATCCTGGGAAGGGAAGATACTATGTAGGTCGCCCTTCTCTGAACCCATCCGAGCTAAAGATCGCAGAGGCCAACGCCACATGATTGTGGAGGGCAATCTATACTTCACTTGTTTATATGGAAAACTCTGCTCTGTTGTCATTTTTCTGGCACACACCAATGGAAAAAAGCCTATTTGAACGTTCCCGCCTCTTGCACACTGCGCGCGTTTCTTCAGATGATCCTCTCTTATACCACCTAAGCGATATGAGTATGCTGACCTGTGTGATAGAGAGAGTTTAGGGTTTTGCTAACAATCAGTGGCAACATTTGTCGCGATCTGAGCGTGTATGACGCGCCTTCCTCAATTTTTGTGCAGACATCTATTGAATGAATGCATGAAAAGAACGAAAGCTTTTCACTAGATTGTGTCTGCTCTGGGAATTTCCAAAAGATATGTAAATCTGAAAATACTCAGTAATTTCGCACTGTTAGAAAATCATGAACCACATGTATTGTTCCCCTTTTTTCTTCGAGCATGGATGATTCCCACTGGTTGATAGTACCTGATACTTTCAGAAATTCCTATTAGTCTTCTTTTCTTATTCGTTTTTCTCGGTATTCATATCACAAAGCGGGTAACTAATTCCTATTAGTTACCCGCTTTGTGATATGAATACCAAGAAAAACGCTCGACTGTCGAAAAGAGAATGGACTATCTTATCAACAAGAAACAATTTTAGAAATGGTAGAGTGACTTTTCTGTAGTCTACCGCCCATGTGAAAGTGACGCCACGTGCAATTGCAGATCGCTAGCGCGACTTTTTCGAAATAGCGTTCGCATACACAAAAACCTCCCATCAAGCTGAGTTTTTGATTGTAGTAGCTTTTTTTCGCTGAAGAGTGTCTACTTCATTGTAAATCGCCTTAGTGGTGTTTATTTATCGTATTTTTCGGTTTTAACCGGTTGTCTCTTCTCGATTGGCTTCACTGCGCCTCGAACTAGCTCAATGCTTTCTTTTCAGGTTTTTTATTCCATGTTAATCTGATTTTCCCCTGAATGACTACACTTGAGGAGAAGAGAAGTCTTGCTTTGGCAAAAGCGCAAGCTTTCGTTAGTAAGAGAAAGGTCGGACATTATTATTTCTTATGATCATATCACAAGCTCTTGTTGGGAAAAGCAGAACAGAGTAGTTTTTTTTCAGTAACATTTGAAATATCGCTTTTTGTATAATTTCTGTCTTTCTTATTAACATGAAATTTAGGCGGAGGCACCACTGAAAAACGAGAATGGTGGAGGAAATGAAGCAAATCCTAATGACGATAATCCTATTCGACCCAGTTCTTTCGGACTCCGACCTCACTTTTCAGCGTATTGATTTTTCACTCTAACAAAAACATTCAACTTCTCCTTTTCTTGTTAACAACTTCCAAGATGTGCTCTTGGGAGTTGTGAAACAAATTTGCGTTCAAGCAGGAACTATACCGTCGTAGTTAATTCCAAAGACAGATTTATGGTCGAGCTTTATTTCAGGGTGAATATTAATTGTGATAAATGGTATCAAACCATGGATGAGAAGGCTCGATTATTACTTCAAGATCCACCATCTTTAGCGGATGGCATGGATAGAGAAACTGAAAAGGTAAATTTCAACGAAAACATACTTAACCTTGGTACTTCATTTGGAGAGTATAGTGTTTACATATGGCTTTTTGCGAAAAATGCTTTGTTTTTTCCCAGTTTTTGCTTTTATTGATCAGTCTAGAAGCCGCTAATTGCAGTTTTGATCGCCGTTTGCAGAATCTACGCTTCTTCGGATGTTCGCTGATACAAGAAGGTGCAGTATTATTGAAATTGCCCCAGGTCGCCGCGGCTACAGGACAAATACTGTTCCAGCGATTCTATTATCTGAAGAGCTTCCTCAAGTTCAGATATGAGGTGAATAAATTTAAGTTCGAATTATTGTATAAAAGCGCAGAAGCAAATCTTCATTTGTAGCACACTGTAATGGCGTGCCTACTTCTTGCCTCAAAAATTGAGGAAGAACCACGCCGAACCAGGGACGTGTACAATACTTTCTACCGCTTAGAACAGCTTCATAAGCTGAGGGAATCAGGACGAGCAATCAACGAGTAAGTGATACCTTCTTCTCGAGTTGATTTTTTAACAGTTAGATCAATGCACTCCCCATAGTTAGATAATACGACTGTAGACGTAAGCCTACTATTGACGCACATAAGTTCATCTTCCTTCTCACGATATCAGATATATCCAAAAACTGTTTAGTATTTTTTGAGAACGATGGCGGATAATGTTGAAATACAACGTGATGACATGGTACCACAAGGGGGTGTGCTCACGGAGTGAGCTGTAAAGACAAATATAACAATAGCAAACAACAGTTTTTTTAGTGTGGCTTCAACGCAATCAAGACCTTGTATATGTTCTTGGTTGCAAATTCTGCTTTCAATATTTAGGAAGTTGCGTTCACTATTTAGGAAGTGTTAAAGGAGTTGGTGTTTAGTTGTTAAGTTGTTATGATATTTAAGATGATCTGTTTCTAGCTTTAGTGAAATTGGGGTGTTCCCGGGTGTTGCCATAAGACTTTCGACTCGCATGACAGCGACACCTCGGGTGAAGTTGTACATCATATACACCCTTGCACTTTCACAGGGTGTCATTCTGTTCAAGCTAGCGCCGGTCTCACAGAACCGAACTTTGTTGTAGTTGAACCGTATTCCATGTTTGTTAGTTGAAGTCTTGTTAATCAGGAAATTGCGTTAACCATAAATTTTCTGTTACTAGCTTTCCTCCACTACCTTCATTAAGGCGTGCAAATATGTCGCTATAGCACAAGTAAACAAATTTATGGTTTAGGTGGGATCCAGGTACTCTGGACCGGTCCGATTGACTGCTTCCCTTTGTGATTTAGATTTTTTTTTTTGAAATAATCGACAACTCATGATTTTATCTATCGGGGTGATAGGATTCTTTAATTGATCGCTCGTGATTATTATGGGACTAGGCGGCTACGCACGCCATTGCGTGCGCAGGGGGCTCTAGCCATAAGGGACGGAGCCACATGAGCTTCAGTTTTTCATTACAGACCTATTTTTTAGATGATCCCTTGTGATTATCATGGGACCAGGCGGCTACGCACGCCATTGCGTGCGCTGGGGGCTCTAGGCTTAAGGGACGGAGCCACATGAGCTTCAGATTTTCATTACAGACCTATCATCTGAGCCTCCTCTTCCCTGAGACTCCTGTAGCGGCCATCATTTTTTGGGATGTGAAATGGGGCAGTGTGTGGCCCCGAAGAGTACTCCGATGTATCCAAATCAAATACCTCTGTAGTCAAAGGAACTCCGTGTAGTTGGGTTGTGTGTGGCCATGAACACTAACATTGAAAGGGCAGCTCCTTTAGGTAGTTGTAGGGATTTACAAGTCTCTATAGGGTATGCACCTATGTGGCCGGAGTTACTGTGGAATTTATTTTATGAGTTCTGAACTTATTGTAGTGCATTTGCCCTTGTGTAGAGGAGACTACTGTCGTGAAAACACGGTGGATACTAACTTTTAGAAAAATTTTTAGACTAATTTTTGAAAGAATTTAGTGGTATCCTCTAGTGTACACCTATGTAGTCAGGGTTAGTGCGAAGGACAGATGTATGAATTTCTGATCTCATCCCCCCCCCCCCCCCCCCCCTTTGCAAACACCGCTTCAGACTTCGAACCGCATTTCTTTAATCACCTCCAGACACCTTTTCCCGCGTTCTAAAATGCATCTGAGGGGACTAAATAATGTTGATATAAGCCCCGTCCACTTCAGTGTCAATCTCGCCCACTTGTGGGATCTGACTACATTTGTTCTACTACATCTTACCACCTTTTTCCCGCAAAAAGGTTGTGAAAGGTAGCGACTATATGTAACCTTAAGTGCACCTCGATATATTGTCAGTCGAAAAAGGTTGGGCTGAATGCGGTTGCGTATCTGTTAACATTCGTGTTAGATACGTTGTTGGTACTAGTGAAATTCTCGGACTAGTTATTGTAAGATTCCCCAACTGATTGACGTGACTTTTTACGTATACCGACAAAACTCTTGATTTGTTTTGGTAAGGAAACCAAACTTGGCATCGGGAGGTTATTCGTCACATGCCTGTAATTGGATTTTTTCAGTGCAACTTGATTGAATGCTTTCATTCTTCCTATCGTAAAACGTTATCTTTGTTGAAAGGTTACTATCCGTTCGTACAATCTTCCGCTCAGCTTATTCCATTTAACGAATCCCTCATTCGGCTGCGGAAACAAGAGGCTGGGTGGATTTATGTAACGCTCTTAATCCTGAGCCTAGCTTATGGGGTCACGCGCCTTCCTTCCCATCTTCCTTAAAATATCTAAAATGACCATTTCATAAAAAAAAATAATTCCTAGTATGCATTATTCCTACACACCTTAATGCAAACTTGCTCGCCTTAAATTTTCTTAACAAAAAATATTTACTGAGTTTGATATGAGAAAGTATTAGTATTATCCCTATAGTTGAAGGTTGCTTTTTACCGATGGAGGCGTGATCTTATTCCTTTTTACAGTCAGTAAGGGGCACTCCATCATTTGTTCATGGCTTATCTGGTAAAGGTGGAGCTATAAAAGTCATTCGCACACTGCCTCGCCTAGTCCCCAATCGCAACTTTGGCGACAACTGTCACCATTCTTACTTTGTAATATTCCAAAAAATCTAGGGCTATAAAGTTGGGATAAACGTTATTGCTTTGTAAAGATTGATTGTTTTGGAGGGTAATATAAGAAGAGTAGGGCCACGTAAGTCATTTTGATGAACAATGTTAAATTCAGGCACTTATTATAATTATCTTATCTAGGTGACCTACCCACACTCGACCTGATGGAAGAGAGTGAGTGACCGGGAGAATCAACACGGCGGGACACTCTGGCCGCCTGTGTCTCCCGATATTGTTTCGGTGTTTTCTCACGATTTTCAATAATAATGAGTCATCTTGATCATCTGATCTTGAAGGACCTATGCAACACAAGGAGGTATGAAACGCATGAGGTTTTTTGTTGATGATTTCAGAATTTGATGCTTCGAGATGGTGCTCTTTTCTAAGAATTTGGGCTATGAGATCGAGAAATCGACGCAATGTTGGTAATTTACTCTAGCTTAGGTGCTATGCACGCGCGCTTAGTGGAAAAGAGAGCATATTTGAATCAGCCTTGAAGCCTGGCTTACTCTGATCTACTCTCCTTCCTCTGTCAAAATTTGAATGCTTGACTTCTAGGGCATTCATTTTTTTTGAACCAATGATACAACATTTCTTGCCACAAAGTTCTGAAGGACAGAGCTTAAATAGTTACATAATTGGTTCACAAAAAAAACGAAAGCCCTGGATTGCCTCGATTGGTGCCCACTACAGTTTTGAGACAGAAGGAGGAAGTCGTCAAAATCAGAGCAGTGCAATTACTATTGAGTATCTTATGGCTCACAACAATCAGCTACTGAGAAGATCACTTTTCCTTTCCCTAATCTGCCATCTCTAGGTTACAAATCAGGGACTGGTGTATAGGAGCTCAAATGGTACTAGCTATACAACATCTGCGATGATTCTGTGTTCCTATGGTCTTTCCTTCTGTAGAAAAAACACAACCCTCTTGTCATCTACTGTACCGTCTGACAGCAATCACTTGGTTGGCAAAAAATTCTGCGACAAAAAATTCGAAGTGTAAGAAATTTTGTATAGTCAATGTGTACACGATAGCAAGCGTGACAAACTCCTAGAACATTCCCCGGGGAATCAACACATGAGTACACAAGGGTACGAGGGGCTTTCGCAATTCACCATAGACGTTTTAACAACACGTTCGTCTACTAGGCATGCCAAGGGAAAACGCGAGTGTAGCGTACCCACTTGACTGCAGGAGATACCGTCCTTTGAAGTTAGCTAGTAAGGAGAGTGAAGAGGCTCACTGGGTTGCTAAGCACAGACGAGATAATCATAGATGTCGTTTAATCCTGTGAACCATTGCATTCGCCGAAGCCGTTAGAGAAAGACAAAAACCATAACTCAGGTACCTACAAAAAGACAAAGCACGCCGGATTTTCGCATTACACACGTGTTGAACATTTGCCGATTCATAGTTCGGCTCGTTGTCCCTTTTATTTCTTTTTTGTGCTCCGCCTTCTCGAGCATTCCCTTTGTGGGAAGAAATTTCATTTCATGACTTGATATGATTCGAAAATGGCAGTCATAGCTTTCTGACATTCGGACAAGAGGCAGAAGGGTTTGCTGAGGAAAAGACGAAGCTGTTTATATTTTTGGTGAATACTCACCTAATATAAGATAATTTTGGAAAATTCTAGAAAGATTCCAGAATCACGTTCTTTTTATCGCAGGACTTTCTTGTCAACCTGACGTCACCTACCTCATCCACATCAAGTCGTCATGGCCCCGTTAATACAGGATCTAGAGGCTTTTGCATTCCAAGATTCCTATCACTCCTGTCTCCCACCGTCAATGGCTTACCCATCGTCTATGCCCTTTCCGAATTTGAACAGTCTAAGTTCAAAGCAGCGGAGGTCATGAATTTTCGATGAAACACATATACATGTGTATACATAACGTATATAGTAGGTAGGCAAGAAAGTCCTGCGATAAAATGGAAGGCATTTCGATTTCATCTCTAAAACTTTCTAGACCAATCAGATCTTCGGAACATATTCACAAAACGGATCGACGACCTCTCTCATTCCTTGAGCAAATCACTGTTGCTTTTTGTCTAGAACTTAGGAAGCTGTAGCTCAAAGAAAACATTGATTGTCTTTTCATATCACGTTAAATTACGAACTTTTCTATCCTAAAGAGACGCTAGAGAAGCTGAGCACATGATCATCAAAAGGGACAACGTTTCGGGTGTACAACTGGTGAACAACCCCAAACGAAGAGGCACGGTGAAATTTCAACAGGCGTCTAAAGCGCAATTTCGACATGCGCTGTCCTTCTGTAGGGACAAAAATGGTTTTGTACGTCTTTTTCTTGACGCGTTGGCCAAATGCTGGGGCTCATAGGGGTATGGGACAGCTCTATCTGGCTGCGCTTGGCAACTCAGAGTGGGTAGGTCCC